TACGCAAAAGTAAAATAAGTCATCTTAGTGTTGGCCAAAATGTGTCAGAGAGGCCTCTCCCTGCTCTGCGGTGAGGTACAGAGTGACTGCAGAAGTTGTGTCTGCATCAGTGGCTGTGTGAAGCACGGCATTAAATCATACTGTGTGAAAGAGGGAGCAGCTGATCCTGGTCCTGTTGTGACAGTGCCGTGGTCCTTTGTAGGGGGACCATCCGCAGTAAATCTGCTCCACTCCCCTCGCACAAAGGGCTGCCTCCATTTATGGGTGCTGGGTGGGGGTGTGTGCCGCTGAATCAACAATAAAGGGAGCGGGACCTCGCAGACCTCTCTGAATTCTTTCTCAGGCCGGCCGGGCAGATGACACAGGGATTTCTGAGGATTCCTTTGTTATTACGGAAAAAGTGCTAACCCATTTTGGCGTAAGTGCGAAGGAATTCCCTCTAGGGTGTATTATCATGATGACATAGAGCAGGCAGGGAATTTACATGAGGGGACGTTCTTATTTTGTGAAAATCATCACCACCATCTTCCATGAGGAACTAAGAAGTGGAATTTGACATGAAGCAATAAGCAGTAAAAGTCAATTCAGTACAAGCCCCAGAGACAGTGGATGTATTGTGTCATGCTGAGGTTCTCAAGTATAAAAAACATATAAAGATTAGATTAGGGTTACAGCATCCACAATAGAAACATGTCGCTTTCCATTTCCTAAGTAGAATAAAGACTATGCTTAGCTTAATCATACAGCACATATTGTCCTGTTGTAGAGCGTCAAACATTAACCTTACATCTGTTAAGAGCTCTAAACAGAACACTTCCTTTCAATTGTTATCGTCTGCCAGTGCTCGTCATTAAAGCTTTGTTGTTAAAAATAACTTCTCCTCAGAGGAAAAGCCTCCATGACTAATTCTTAGGAAACACATGCTCAATCAGGAACACAACGCTGAGGGTTTCCAGCTTCAACTCCACTCACAGGTTCAACCTTTCAAACGCAGGGGTCAAGAAACACTTGGTAAACCGTTTCCATGTTTGCAACACGAGCATGAGGTGGAGCACTCATATTAGCTGACTCTGTGTCTTGGGCTAATGCTAAGAAAAACAGTTTGAAAACAATGGGTGAACCCTCCTACTGTTACCTTGGATTGTTTGGAGGCTTTTTACTGAGGTATTTACACTTTTAAGCCAAAGCTGAAAAACTTGCAGTAATGTGATTTGAGTAAAAGGGCGAGTTGCCAGGGCGATGAATGCTCCAATAGACCCAGCAGGAGATCAGTGGAGAGAATCCAACAACAACCAAATCACTCGCTGAGCTAGAAACCTGCACGCATTAAACACCACAGGGCTATTACTGCCCAGGCTGCTGACCCCGAGTACAGTACATCATGAAAAACACCTCGCATCCACGTAATAGGCTCAGTTTATTACTATATATTTATTGACAAACCAATTATGTGTTATTTTGTAGAGTCTTATATGACCTATTTCATGTCACACTTCTAGGACAGTGTGAACAAATACATGTAGAATGAAAAGTGATCACTCATTTATGTCTTTCAACTAAGTATTCCTTAAGCTTTACTGTACTTGTTCTAAGATTATTACATATTGTACTTAAGACATGCTTCAATATGATTACCTTATAATTGACAAAAACACATGAAAGCAATGTTGTTTTCATGTGTTTTGCAATCCATCTTAACATAATGAATGCACGTACAATAGGTATAGATACAGCTTAAGTGGTTTTCTAGTTAGTCAATAATCTAGTTTATCTAAAAAAGAAAAATACGTTCTAGATGTAAATAGTTTTTCTCCCCCTCTGCAAATTGTACTATTGCAAATCATACTGTGGTACATGTGTATTGTTAGCACAGTCCCCACAGTGTGGTCTGGCTGCTGTTCTCTATTTACAGTGATCTCTATCTACTGTTCCTCTTTCTGAAACCTCAACTCATGCGGTGTCATTGAAGGGATCTCAGCTTTTGTTTGCTTTTTGAGATGGCATATGCTCAAGATCAATAACTCCTCAGAATGTCAGGGTGGTTATCTTCTACAGTGACTTCCTGTTTCGATCACTTTGATTTCTCAAGACAAAATGTCAATACCAGCCAGTGTTTTATGAGCGCATGTTTTCTCCTTAATGGGAACACTGAGGTGTAAACGATGTATAGGCTGTAGTGCAAGGGTGATTGGAAGAGGCAACAGTGTAATTATATGGATTGTACTATACAGTAGCAGAAAGGCCTCCAATAGGAGTATGAAATAATTTATTCACTTGTTTGCAAACCTTTATTGTGAGCTCTGTTCGCTTCTTATCACAAATAATAGTGGAGAAAATCAAATCCCTTTTTTTTATTAAACAAAATAGTTGTACAGGATTAGGCAAGTATGTTAACTGACAAATCGACAACATGCAAAGAGAAATGAATAAAGTTATCTTTAATAATGTGTGCCAACTTATAGCAGTCAAGAAATAATAAATAATGTAATACTAATTGTAATAAGCATTAGGTTAAATTAGGGATTGAGGAGACCAATAGAATCACCTTTATGTGTTGTTTTGTAGATTTTTACACCATGAATGAATTTAAAATAGACAATATTTACTGAAAGAGAAAGCTGTCCACAAGCTATCAGACTGGTGTTCTGAACTAAAGCCAAGTCAGGAGCAGCTCATGTATAAATGGGAATTTGGAATGCATGATAAAAGCCGCTTACATCTGTGTCCTGTCATTTGGCATCATGTTCATGTCATTGAACACAGGGAAGATCCTCTGCACCAGCTGCTCTGCTGCAGAGGATCAAAATGATAATCAACCGACTGTGCATGGCTGTCAAAAACTTAAGTAGCAACCATGTCTTTCATGAAGGCTTGAAGACAGTACAATAAGAACCATGTTTCCCAGTGAACACACCATGCTGCTCTGAATATTTTTGGCACATCCTGTGAACTCTCAGATTGTGGAACTATGTTGTGAAATCCTCCCTTACCAGTATCTAAAAATGTGATGACTTGTGCACTCTCCAAGGCAACCCCTCACTTTTTCAATCAAGATTGAAGCTGCTTAGATTTTTCTTGCAAAACATCTCAACATGTTTCACTTGAACATTATGTGGTATGAGTTACATGAGGTTTGGGAAAAGGCCGTATTTCCAGTATACTGAACTCACCTGTGCAAACGATATCAACAGTTGTTAAAGTGATATATATGTTTTTAATCCTGGAAAAATAACCTGATCAACCAAACAATATTAAAAATAATGCTGAAAAAAGAAGATAATTGGTTTGCATTATTCTCACATTGATAACAGTGAGAATAATGCAGTCTTTTTTGTTGTTTCTACGTGACTGACTGGAGAATGTTTGCTCTTCCTGGCTCTGATGCCGGGCAGCTGAATACAAAGACTGTTTCCACTAATGAGCAGCGACATGCAGCCTCTCTGGCCCATAGTAGGACAGGATCTGCCTTTGAGGAAAACAAAGTGCAGATAGAAGCCTCTCCAGACTGGATCTTATAATTCCCACACAACAAGAATAAGCAGAATAATAGAAAATGACACTGTGCAAAAAATTGATCGAAAGGGATACTTATTCTAGGCTTAGACCAATGATATCAAAAAAGGGCCTTTGTAACTATTGTAAAGACAGTTGTATAATGTTTTCTTTGGTTGAAAATTAGTTTTCTTAAGCCTGAGAAAATCATAACAGAGACTTGAATTTCACGTATCTGGTTATTTAAAACGAAAAGCCACGATTACAAACTGTTTTCAGTTTGAGTATGTGGGCGTTGCAGGGAAGACACTTTTGAGTTTAATTATGGTACATGTAGAATTGAGCCTTTCTGGAGCTCACACCTTTGACCTAAAAACCTGTCATAAATAGACAGGAACACTTCATAAAGATATAAGGTTTCTGTTTTGGTTGGCATTAGATTAGAAAAGTGTTATTGTGTTAAGCCCTAGCTATCCACTGGACTGCTTAGTGATGTTCTGACAGACAAAAAGAAAGTTTGTAATCTTAGGTTAGTCAGATAAACATATACATTTGCATTACAGCAAGGAGACAAAATGATCTATCCCATTCTTGGTATTTAAAGGAACTATGCTGCCATCTTGTGGGGCTGAGCACAGGTGCCTCAACAACTCTGTCATCACATAAACTTCTGTACATCAGGAAAGCTAAAAGCATCCACAAACCTTTGGACTGCAAGTTGTATAGTCGACCTGTGAACATCTCCACACTTAAGAGAGTGTATTTAAAAGCTGGTTCATGTTTCTGTTGTGTAGTCAATGCAGACAACATACAATTCCAACGTAAAAAGGTTAGGTCAGATTTCCAACACCAGGGGGCGCTGTAGCTTTCTCCTGCATTCACAACCTTCAGCATCATTCACAGGGATACATTTTCTATCAACACATTTATTTCCCCCTTTTGACCTTCTCCCTGTGTATCTCCCTTTATCTGCGAGGTTCTAAATTATTTTGTAACTGACCATTCTTCAGAATACAAAAAACTAAAATGTGAAGACCAAAATGTAAACAAGAATAACACATTTGTTTACAACTGAACAAAATAAAAAAACAGACATACATCTAAATACTCTACTAACAAATGTAACCTTTAAATAAAGAAGGTTAACCTCAATGTCAGTACAACTCATTTCCGTAAAAAATTACATGTTGCCTTTTCATGATATGCACTAGGCCTACTATATGTTGAGGTCACATTTTGTCTTCTAATAAACTCATTTTGCAGAGGTGAACAATTTAATCCGTGTTTTAGGTCCAGACCTGCTGGCATGTTCGGTCACGGTATCTTTCTCTGATTCTTTTGAGAAGCTTTGATAGAAACCTCTCTGCAGACAACAGGGACGGACAGAACAAGGACTGGGGGGTGTACGCGGTGGGGAGTAGTCAGTCGTGCAGCCTTTACTCATTGGTTGCCTCAGTGGCGCTCCCTCTCCCTCTCTCATAAATGCGCTCCCACCAGCGACCGTAGCAGATAATCACAGGCCACTCTGACAGGGACACACCTTCCGCTGATTTTGCCCCAGTTTACACAGGGATGCGTTTCGATTCACGAAAAGGTGTCATCAGTCCAAGATTCGAGTCTTGTTTTTCAGCGTGCGAGAGTTTTGCAATTTACTGATTTTTTTTTGCGCATAGGTTGCTGCTTCACGACAACAGGAGGATGACCGCAGTTTTTGAGAACTTAAATACAGATATGCATTCCAACCAGATTACCTCAAGCAATTATCACAGCCTGCACAAATCGCAGGAGTCCCCAACTCTGCCAGTGTCCACGGCGACGGACAGTAGCTATTACAACAGCCAGCAGCCGGGCCATTGCGCTGGGTCTCCATTTGGCCAACTGTCTTACCAGTACCACGGCAATGCCCCCAGCGCGGTGCCATATAACGCAAAGCCCTACGACCTTGGATTCAACTCATCTTATGGTGCATACAGCTCCTACGGCACCAACTCACCTCCTTCTCCAGTCGATACAGGTAAGCCCTTACGCTTGTTTTTTTTAAAGTTATGTTGTTTGATATACAATGTCATAAATGCCATGCTTTTAGTTGAGGCGAAGCTTGCTTTAGATTGACAAGGAGCAAGCTGAATCATGTAGGCTACAACATAATTGACAATACAATTATTTGTTGGTCAGTAGCCTACACACAATTGTTTGACAAAACACTGATAAGGCTCAATAATAGTAGCCTTGTTTGACACAAATCTTATCAAGCATTCTTTTTTAAATTATTATAATAGACTACAACTCTTAAACATATATTATCTGGTGGAAACATATATGTTTAAACCAAACTGATGGCCGTGCAAATTCTTAATAGATGTATGCAACTGGAAACTTGCAATACTGATCATGTGATTGTATTTTTCCCTCAGAGAAAGAACAGCGAGAGCCAGAAATCCGGATGGTTAATGGAAAACCAAAGAAGGTCAGGAAACCTCGAACCATTTATTCCAGCTTCCAACTGGCTGCACTTCAACGGAGGTTTCAAAAGACGCAGTATTTGGCTCTACCAGAGCGGGCGGAGCTGGCAGCATCGATGGGCCTTACGCAAACACAGGTGGGTGCATCTGAGACACGCTGTCAAATAACCACTTTATGTGATAAATGAAAAATAAATGCATAACTGTGGGGGAGGATTTGAGCCGGGAAATTATGATTAATCAATTTCATGTTTATATCCTGTTTCCTTCTCAGATCAAAATCTGGTTCCAAAACCGCCGCTCCAAGTTCAAGAAGTTATGGAAAAGTGGAGAAATGCCCCCGGAGCTTGTTGCTTGCTGCGAATCCCCCCCCTGCAATTCTCCGCCAACTTCTGCCTGGGACTTTCCACAGACTCAAAGAATGAACCTTGTCAGTTCCAGTTTACATCAGAGCAGCAGCCCTCCCAACACGACTGCGCCTTCATCGTTTTTGGCAAACTACTCCTGGTACTCCACGAACTCTGCGACGCATCTGCAGGCTCCTCTGATCCAGCACCACCACAACTCCGCCATAAGCGCTGGGACGATATTCTGAAACAAACAAAAACAACACAATTATCGGGTTCAAATCGGACAATACTGGTGAAAAAAGAAAAAGGCCAATACCTTCATTTTTACAGACCTCGTGTGTGCGCCTTGCGAACTTTACGCAAGCATCTAAGTTGATGGAGCCAGAAAGGCTTATGGACCTTGCCAGTTTTCACGCTTGCAAATGGTAGTCGCAGATTTTTACAGTTATTTTTGTATTTATTTATTTTGTTTATGTCGAGGGACTGAATGAACCACTATTACCCAAAGCAATCACAGCACGGGCACATGCCTACTTTAACGCGGACGTCACTTTTTTGCCATTTCTGCAGAAACAACACATCCATCGCAGGACAACCTGTCACACAAATGTAGCACATCTTAACTGTATCGTGCCTTTTTCGATATGATCTCATGTTGTTGTACGATTAAGACAGCGTAGCCTTTCTTTTCATTCATTCCTTATGTCACTAGTTTATTTGAAAATATGGGCCAGGGGGGGGTCTGAATATAAGTTTGTAAATATTTTACCACAGCTCTTTGACTATTCTTTTTTTTTTTAAAGGCTATTGGTACAAATCCATTTGCCCCCGCTACTGATTGTCCTTCCCTCTGATTTACTTGTATCACACTTTATTGTATTTGTGTCTTATTTATTTTAGCAGTGTTCCATATATGCCAGACGTTATTTAAATAAAAATGTTTTCTGTGTACACCTATTTCTCTTTTTCTTGACCTACATTTGGATTTATGGATGACCGGGGAATTGATTGTTGCCTTTTTGTTATTGCATTTCTAGAGAGCCAACACATAATTATAAAGGCCTATGGCTATTTTAATGATTATATTTATTTATTCGTTTTTGTATTTGAGTCAACTCTATTGTACAGCTATTTAGATCAAATATAAATTGTTTTTAGCGTAGCTTCACTTAATAGACTGCATAATTTTCCATTGTAAAATGTGTGCAAGCATAAGTGTAATATTACAAATGTAACATATATGATAAACTCATAAAAACAAGCAGCAACAAATGTGTTTTTGTGATTTATTTAAACTATAGTTAGGCTATACCTGTTTTTTGGTTTAATATGCTGAAACTCGGTCAAATAAATAAATAACAATACCCGTTTTACGCACACCTGTAGCAAACTAAATCAATAGCCCTAGCAAGGTTACCTTGTGTTGTTATGGCAACCGTGTTAGCTTTTTAGTGAGCACAGTTGGGGTTTAAGCTGTTAGCCTAGCATACCTTTAAAGCAAGCTAACACTGATTAATAGCTATTTCTTATAACAATAACATGGTGTTTGTCATTAAAAGGGCGATCACACATGTGGAAAATCTAAAGACAATTCCTCAACCTTCTCGGGTTATTTTACCCGGTTCCTATTAGCCGGACTCGGGCTCATTCGGGCAGGCAGAGGCAGAGAGAGAGGCCCGGGGCGCAGGCTCTCCGTGTAGGGGGAGGCAACACAACAACACGCCTTGGCATGCGAGAGAAGGGAAGATGAGGGTGGTATGAATGAGCACAAGCTCCTCAGACTCTGTGGAGTCAGGGAGTCGCTTTCCAGGCGTTTTATGAACTCAGCCAACAGGAGAAAAAGAGAGCAACTAGTTCCAAGTCAGCCTGGAGCTAAACAGCATCATGGAAACATTTCTCACGTCTCACAAGTGAGCCTCTGATCTCTGAAGAGGAGCACATTGACCTACATTATTTATAGGGCCTGCAGGCTACATGGTAAACAGAGACACACTTCCCAAAAAATAAATGTATTGCTGCCAGGAATAGGGTATGAAATTAGGTAAGGGGTCTTATTATTAATACGAAGTCCCATCACTTAGCCATAGTTCTCATGGCTATCACTGTCTATCCCACACGCTTCTCTTCAAACCACCACAGGCCATAAAGTGGGATCGTTTCCTTGTACATAATTAGGACTGTAGCTTGTCAGCGGTTGCTATATCTCCATGATGGAGCCTCCTCCCTGGAGCTGACATGCAGCAGGTCTTTGCGACAACACATTACATCTACACACATGACTCTAGATAGCCCTTAGTGTTATTGTACATTGAACTCGTATATTGTACAGAAAAAGTGCATGCATCATAACAAGGGTGTATACACTGCACCAAATATCTCCTCTCTCGTGTGTGGCTTTACACCAGCTGTGGATCAATCAACACATGTTTATAAATAATAAAATATATCGATTTCGTCCTAAAAAATAATGATTATAATAAATGATTTGTATGTTTTTCTGCTGCTCCATGTGACTTCCTTCATGGGTTTTGAGCTGCTTTGCTTTTTCTTTTGCAATTCTGCAGGCAACTTGTAAATGCCATCCTAATTTATACCCTGATCTGTAATTTCATCCACATTTTCTCTGGCTTGAGCATTCTGGCTTTCAAATCTGAAAGCCTGCAATTACTATATAATTCTTCGCAATTTGAGATGTCCTAATGTGGGGTGTTAGTCTATTTTTACCCAAGACAATTCCCCGCTATGGCAAGCATCAACATTTTCGAACTTGCATGTACATAATAAATGGGAATATCAATGCATAGTTTTTAGCCTAACATCTTGACTGAACGATAATTATATCCGTGTGGAGCCTACGCGAAATTAGCCTGAATTGCATGGTAACTGCTGCTTTAAATTTTAAAAAATTACTCATAATTTCCCCCAAAGATTACCAAGATCTCGAGTGCACAATGTCATCAGCGTAATGAGGAGTAAACATTTATGCTAATAATCTACATTTTTTTCCATCAGCTATAAAAAGGGGAAATAAAGCAGACATTTCCAGTCATATTCTGAACTGTGCTGCTATAGCTAGACCAACACATGGGACATGGGATTTAAGCGCTTCTATCTTGTTCTGCAGGATGCTGCTGCTCATCTGCCTCCATGCTGATCCCTGCAAAATCCAGAGGGAGCCAGCTTCTTTATTTCCAGCTGAAAGGTGTGTAATATATTTTATTTCTTAAATATTCAAGTAGTGCAACGATTGAAAGAATGTCATAAAAAAACAGGAAACAGGCTTGATTCGTTCATTAATCTTTTGAAATAATCTATGTTTTATTCCAAGTGAAATTTGTGAATATTGCTGATTCTTTTACATCAAAGACTGGGTCCTATTTTTTTCCCCTTGTGACTTCGCTATTAAAAAAAGGTCTCCAGTGTATTTAATGTGCTGCTAAAACTCTTGGAGCAAAGAGAGCTGCGCACATGGAGGATATGTAAGGAAGGGGAGACACAGGGTGTTCTTTAATCCAGTCGCTGCTCTCATTACTCTTACATTGTGCTCTGCTAATTTTGAAGCCTCCTCGCATTGACAACTCCATGATGTACACCTGCAAGCAATTTGCCTGCCTTACACATAGGCTAAGTCTAAGGGAACAGTGACGAAATGGCAGCTCACCTATTTCGCTATTTAATTTTTGTTTCTATTGCAGCAGCACATTTTTTTTCAGAGCACTATCTCCTTTGTCAGAGCAGAAAGATCCTTCATGTGGAAAAAAAATGCTCATAATTACCTCAGAGATAGGAAACTGCATTAGAATAAATAAGGGCGAAATTACTGTAATTACGCTGGGTTTGATGGGCTCAGCTCGTATAATCAAGGGGAGAATACAGCGAAATAACGCTGACCCTCTTGGGTGTGCAGCTGCGCCTTTCTGGGACTATAGGCAGATTTATGTTCTACAGCAGTAGCACAATTCATATTCTTTCTTAATGGTATACCGAGATGTGCAGGCTATTCTACAAGTGTAGGCTTATTCACAAAGGACTCTATATGCTCTATTAAAAATAACAATAGAGACAGGGTTGTTACATAAGTCGCAGACCTTTTAGATAAACTAGGCCAGAGATGATTTCTTTTTAGTCCTTTTGAAGCGGATTGGTTTTACTCGTCAAATAGGCATAAATAATAATAAGAATTAAAATGGTCGTTATGATGTTCTGATTTTCCCATTTAACAATGCATAAATGAAACATGAAAATAATGAAGTGCTGTGTTGTAAAAGTAGTATGCTGTGCAGACTGCAGACAGCAAGTCGCATCAAATGTCATTACACTGCTAAACATGTATTTATTCATGGGGATATGCAGCTGGAGGAGGGCGAGTAGGATACAAGTCTTGCATTTGAATTCGTTATATTCTTTGTTTCTTCTCGCAGAAACATTACGCTTCAGATCAGATACTTTGTTCCATGTTTTTCTCGAATATTGGTGCCTTATTTCATTTGTTTCCATTATTACTTTTGCTATAACCAGTCCAGTGTTAATTATATTTGAATGGACAGATATTTCTCTGGCTGTTTAATTGTTTTAGTATAAAAAAAATGCAAGTAAAAATACGTTTTACAAAAATGTATATTCAACCAAACTAGCCCAGCATTTTAACTAAACATTTACGATTGTTATTAGATTTTTTTTTTTAATAGAAAAGGCTTAGTGTGAGTTTGCTTAATAGAGTCCTTGAATACAACGTGAAGGCCAAACAAGAAGGCCTTTGAACTTTTCACTTTCTCTGATCTCCATGTGATCCGCCAGGGCTCATCCAGTCTTTTTGCAGCACCTGCCTCTTGAGCGATTATTCACTTAACACACACAATTGGTCTCTTCCATTCATGGCCTAAAATGGGGATTGTCGGAAGACAAATAGAAAGAAGATTATCTTTAAGAAAAGCTGAAAAGAAACAAGCGATGTTGTTGAATGAATCCAGCTCTCCCGCATCGCGACGGTTAAATCCCGAAATGATGCAGTTTATATCGGCTAGGCTTCAGTGGTTCCTGCATTTCTATTTTGTAGCTTTTTTTGTATTGTCCATGTAATATATAAAATGCAACAGTTAATATATTTTCGTTTTGATTCATTGAGATTCAAACTTGTTTTTTTAGATGCAAAGTCGTATTTGTATTTCTTAATTCCCTCCAGAGGTTTGACAACATCTGCAGCAGAAGGGACGCATGTAGCTAAATGCTAGCACAACCATGAATCTAAAGCGCCTTTTGCAGCTCTCACACGGGGTCTGCTACAATAACCAACATGATACTGCTTTGTGTCGGCTCACATTAAACCTGCACCATGTTGAAGCCTTTCTTTTCACATGAAGAGGGAGGAGGAGGAGGGGGTAGGAATCAGACACCTTTCTTGACATAATTTAAATCATTATTTTACTGCTTTTTAAAACTTTGCACAGTGTGTACATAAACTTCAGAAAAAAAGAAATAAATTAAAGTGATCAATACAAAACTAAATATTTGTCTATGTTGACTAAACACGAATACAGAAAGCCTAAAACCCTGTTTCACAGCGTATCCAGTACAGCACGAAAACAAATCTGAAAATAATAAATGTACAAAATACAGGGACAAATGAGCTGCTCACCTTCAAGATATTTTTTTTCTAAAGCAGCACATTGTCAGGCCTTTTACATTTTTCACATAACATCGGGGCACGGCATAGAAAAGCTTTGCTGTTAGTGCAGCATTAACAACACACTGTTGTCATTTCAAAACACACTTACAAAATGAACACAGACTGACCTCAACAGACCTCAAAACCTGTCTGAATAATTTAACTTAAATAACAAACACATATAAACAACAAAGTAGCGATTTAAGGCTTTGCACAATATGCCCTGTGTGCTGTATAGCCTATAAGCAAAACGGTAATGGTGGAAAAATGAATTATCATTATTTGGTTAAAGAAGAGCTGCTTTGGCCTAATAGACCTTTAGCTGTTTATAAATTCATTCCCATCATCACTTTGGGCCCAACATCTGGTTGAAACAAACACCTGTTTTCTCGTTAACTCACACAAAAAAGTAATTTTTTTTTCAAAGGGTAAAAACAGACACAAAAGGGATAAACAGCAGCCAAAAAAAAAAGGATCAATCTGTCCACGATTTCCGGTGACTGTCACAGACGTGTTGCCCTCGGGCGCATTGCGTGTCTTTGCAGTCTCTCAGCTCTTCCTCTCATCCGGTATGAGGAGGCCTGTGTGTCAGCTGGCGGCAGCAAACTCCGGGGTTGTTGTTGTTGTTGTTGTTTGTGTAACCAGTGCTAGGCCGCGCTGAAGCCCCTTCCTCATCCTGATCCACGAGACATGGCAGAGTGGAGGGCTGACCGTTCACATGAGCTGTGACTGTTGCATAGACTCTTGGTGTGTGGTTGGATACCATGAGGTGTAGCTGGGAATGTATCCGGTTGTTCCCACCGAAGTCTTCACGGTGGTCGGTGAGCTCCACACCGGCGCCACCGTGGGAGAGCCGGTGGACAGTCCACGGCCGGTGGCCAACAGCGCGCTGGGGTCGATGGTACCCCCGCCCTGCTTCATCAGTTTCTTAAATTTAGAGCGTTTATTTTGAAACCAAATCTTCACCTGGAAGGACGAAAAACTATTATTAGTGAATTATCGTATCAACAGTTTTGAAAGAATTACGCACGTTTTACGCACGAAGCAGATGTATTTAATTCATGAGAAAATAATAATAATGAATATATTTATTATGTTTACTGTATTAATGTCATTTATATTAACAATACATGAATCTCGGTTAATTAATATACATAAAAACACGTTTGATTTGGTGTCAATCATTGAATGTTATGTATATGGTGTCCAGATGAATTGTATTCATTGTAATTTCAATAAAATAAAAAAAAATGCTTCTGTAATTTTAATTAAAAAATAATGAAATATAAAAATGCATGTTGTAAATAAATAAATGGCATTTAAGAGGTGAACAAACTCTTCTTGTGGGTGTGTTTCCTGGACTTGCCTGTGTCTGAGTGAGACCCATCGTCGCTGCCAGCTCTGCTCTCTCCGGTAACGCCAAATACTGAGTTTGTTGAAATCTTCTGTTCAGAGATTGAAGCTGTAAACTGGAATAGATAGTCCTTGGTTTTCTGATCTTTTTTCCTTTCCCGTTGAATCGAACCTCTCCGCCCTCCACCACCGTGTTTTTCTCCGTTTCTGGCGCTGAGAAAAATAAAAGAGCAAGCAGAGGGAAACAAATGAGCTGCAGTTGTGGCCAACAATGCTGCACAGCGACCAATACTCCAGCGCAAGTTTTACAGGCTGTACTTTAGGTATAATTACCCTTAATTGCATACATTGTTTATAGCGTTACGCAATAAATAATTACCAAGCCTAATTCCAACATCTGGCTCGTGTTTTTGTCGATGCTGCATACAGATTCAAGCCGTGCCAACACAGAAAGTTCATATTGAAGATCCAAACATGCTGCTGCTCACTTACCTGTCTCCTCTAACCGCGTCTGTGTGAGCGCCGAGCTGTTTTGGTAGGTCTGTACTGTGCTGAGATATGGACTGGTGGAATGGCTGCCGACGGAGTTTACGTATGGATAACCCAAAGATCTGGGGAAGGACGAGGCTGGACTGTAGCTGTCGTGCTGGGTATGACCTGCAGAATGTAAACAGTGCATCGGATAGTGTCCGTGAGACATGGAGGAAGGCGACATTTGTTGACTCGGGGGTCCAAACTCCATGAAAACGGTTTTTCCTGAGGCAGGGCTGAGACTTTCTGGAATTGTAGTCATTGTCATCTCTTCTGGCGGCTCCCCTTGTATCGCTTTTGTTGTTTTCCTTCTATGGTCTCAGTGAAGGATGGGTCCCAATTTAAGCCGAACTGATTTTTTCTCTTTCCATTCATAAGAAAATGTAGTTTGTGCCTGTGAAAAGTCCTAGGTATGATGCTGTGGACCAAGACAAACTCGCTCAAAGGTTTGAATCTCGGACTCATGAATATTCATCAAAGACTGTCGCTGATTGGTCCACTCTCTCCAAGAGGGAAGCCGATTGGCGACGCTGGGCTGGGTCCGAGGAACCTGAGAAAGTCAAAGAAAAAACACAAAACCTAAGATTTCATCATGTCAAGATGCACTATTTTATATTATCATCACTAATTATGTATATCAATTTTAATATTATTATCAGGCACCACGTTTAGGTAATATTACCGGTGAGACTCCTGATCCATTTATTTCCCAGCATATAGCTAACATTTCTTTTAAATGTAATAAAATACTGTGATCTATATCGGTGCAAGCAGTACAATCAGGTTTGTCACATTGTATTTGAAATGCCGGTTGTCAGAAAAAACGTAATTTATTATAGTTAAATAATAATCCCAGCCTCGTTAAAGCAGCTCTTTCTGTTGGCTAGTTTCATTAAAGCTTGTTTGATTAAAGCTTTATCTCGTATTAGCATAACACTAGTGTTCAATTTTCATAAGTAGGTCTGTAATTAGTCATGTATTTAACACTTACGTGGCTTGAGGTCTCAGTTACACCTGGCAGCTGATGGGAGAGTCGAACAGTCCTGATGTCAAATTAGGTTTTTGTGTCAGGTATCAGGAGTAACGATGCTTTAAGACACCTGGAAACATACAGCCTAAAAATAAATAAAAATAGGCTCAAACAACAATGTCTGAATTTTACAGCCCAATGTGTTTTTTAATGAATTATTTCACAACAATATTAATCGTTTGAAATTATTGGTTATATTGTCTTGCTTCCCACTGAACTATTCACTGTTTTCTAACACAGTCATGTATGGGCCTATTTTCTTATCACATTTAAATGCTTTCCAAACGACTTAACGCAGCGTCTATCGCAATCAATTAATGGTCACACTTTGGTTGAACACTGGCACCTTTGATTAGCATGACTCTACGGGGGGGTGGGGGTGCGGCCAGCCTCCCACTGCCTAACAAGAATAATTATCCACGGACATTTGATTTAATTGAACTGACGACTGACTTAACATAAGAGACTTTTTTTTCTTCTTCCTTGAGCTGCAGGTTTAGACCTCCACAACTCAAAAGCTCAGACAGGATCAATGCAGCTGTAAGTATAGTTTAACCAAAAATATCTTAATCAGCAGCTAAACGCAACTTACTTTGTAAATCAAGTGATGGGAAAGGAGCAGATAAATCCGCGGGTCAGAGAGCCTCCGCATTACGCACTTGGTGGAAGAAGAAAGTATCCTGCAGCAAGTCTTCATTTTATCGGGATCCATATGCAGGCTGCTGCTCCTGATCTGGTGTCTGAGAGCAGAAACACAGCCTGACTGCGCCATCCCCTCCATCTCCACCTGAATAACAAATTAAAGGCAGTTAAATTCCGTCACTGTGATTATCAGTGTAATTGCATAATTAACTCAAAACAGAACTAGCAAGTTGCAAAATGTGTTATCAAAATGCAGGCGCTGACATCACGGCACGTGCTGCAGTGTGCCAGCCGGCTGCGGATTTAAAGATTTCTGTGCAATATTAGGCTATAACGAAAGCTGGTCCCTTCGTCCCCCTAAAATAGGCCAATTTGAAGTGATTTATCTGGAATTACTTTCGAGAAATGCTTCAAGACTTCCTCTATCAACAACGACAATGATAATGGTAGTACAACCAATAATTATCATCTTCCAGAACAGAGGACAGATTTTTATGGGTACTTGGTGGGTGCGACTGATAACTGTCATTATTTCCCCACGATTATAGTATCTGCAAATTGACACGCGGCTGTGAGCACAACCATTAACAGAGGCAGAATTTGCAGAAAAATGTAAAATAATACTACGAGTACACTACTAATAATAGCAATAATAATAGCAGGCTGTTTGTTGAAGTAAATGTAATTTAGGGCTGAGAAAAACCACCAAATAAATGCTGCATTATTCAATTTATTGAAAAATGCCAAATCAATCATTTACAAAGTGTTTATTTGCTTGCAACCAAAACGGATTATTTATTCAAGGAATTTTCTTTCATCGGTGTCATTAGGATGATTGTGCATGTGATGATATTCCCACTTTAATTTCTAATGTGGCTCTGCTGGCAGGCCACAGTCCGTCCTGCAGACTAGCAGCAGAGCTCTATCCACACTAAAAATAAAGTCCTCCATGCATGGATGGAGCGCGGAGGCAGGACTCATTAGGAGTGAGTAGCTCTGTGGCTGAGGGTGTTTTAACACCTGCTGCTCTTCACCTGAGGGTTAGTGCAGAGGTGGAGAGAGAGGGGGAGGTGGGGGGTAAACGGGCCAAGATGTCACAGACTTCATTTCAGGCCGCTGATCGAAAGCCCTCCTCAAACTGCCATGCCAACCCATATTTTCACAGCCACCAAATATTACCCCGACCGCGGTGCACCATGCACACTCTCCATGGGAACACTGATTAATTATTGCCTTTGAAAGTGCATTATTTCCCTTTTTTATGGAGACAATAATCAGGTTTATATTTTGTATTTGAATGATTTACCTGATTCGTTTTAGGTTTTTAATGGGGATTTTCGTTTGTCTGCAAATATAGAGAAAATCCAATTTAAAATTGCAATAGTTTTCCTCAATTTATATATGGATTATAATCCTTCTCATGTGTGTTTATCTGTGTTTATGTGATGACATAGTGCATATGTGTTTTTCTGTGCTTGTATTTTTTCTTTAATGTGATCATCCTGCCAGAGACTGCAGATGCAAATGATCCTCTAAATCTGGCACATTTACACATGGATTAAGTGCTCATGTTAATTTATTTGCATTGTCCCTTCTTAAACAAATAAACACAATCCCTTAGATGCATGCACTCAACATCATGATGCAAAAATATCCATGTCAAAAATACTTATTCAGAACAAAAAGTAAATTGTTCCCATGTTTTTATTTTTTTACATAACACATATCTCCTCATATCTGAAACTGCCCATTATGGACATGGATCATAGATGTCCACATGACCTCAAATGCAAATGCAAATGTATTTCTGTGAGTGACTTCCAGCAGAAAGGTCCCACTATATGGAGGTTTTATGTCACGTGTTTAAGGCAGTGGATCAAACAAGTGAAATTGCCTTTTGTTCTGCTTCCTCTCTCTCTCTGCTCAGCGCCATCCTGTAATTTGCAGCATCGTCAATGAACGCACACTAGATGCACTACAATTAACTCGATTCAGTGTCTATTTTCATGTTCAATGTGGCATCAAAATGTGAATTGATTCTGTTTACTGGGCAACACCTAAATAAAAAAATAATCATAATATCTGATAAACAAGAGGGTGATATCAGTTAGCTGATTTAATTATCATAAGAGCCAGGAGTGACACATGAGGAAATGAGATTATGTGACAATTTTATTTTGTATTCAGAAAATACAGAGGAATACATTTCATTTTAAACATTTAAAACGTAATGTACTGTCTCACTATAATTAAATGTGTTATTTGCTACGTTAACTTGTGTGAGAATCAGATTCTAATACTTCATTGTATGACCTTCGAGTAAGTTCACCCTTTGGTTTCTGAAATTAAATGAAGTGATGGATGGGGTTTTGTATTCAGGGCCAAATAAATAATGTGTTCATAATTAAAGATCTATGTAATTTGCCTTTTCAATTAAAACATTTGTGTTTTTCATTTGATACTAATAAAGTATTACAATCAACAATTATCAAGAACTTTAAATTCATTTAATACAATAAATCAGTCAATTTGAGTCATACTCCCGTTTCAAATGTTATGTCGTGGGGGGAAATATTGTATTTTTTGACCATATTATGCCTTTACACACTAAAACGTAGACGTATTTCCTGTATTGACAGTAGAATAAAATGTTTCCTACAGCATATAAAAAATAAAATAAAGTTGCAATTTTTTTAGAATAGTTAGAAGGAAAATAAGGATTTCTTTATGTCTTTTAAAGGCCCTGATGACTGCGAGGAGTCTGCTTCACACCGGGTCAGGACGTATTGACCGACCGCTGCTCTCCAAACTGGACCTGTTGTTCAGCGGACGGCTGACAGCATCACTGGGTCTTGCTCCTGCTGATAATAGAAATAAAGAGCAAATACATGTGCCATTAACTTAGAAACAAATATTTCCTGCCTTTGCTTTCCTCAGTCATACATTTGTACCTCCTCACTTACAGACGTCGGTAATATATGGCTCATTTTTAAACTTCAATGACTCTTTTAATCTCAGCAAATTAAAACACTTGAAAAGCAGCCTGTATAATCAACATGTGTGCAATAGGACTAAAGAAGTCATATTTGAACTTGTTTCTTTTCTCTTTCAGGGTTCAGAACAGCTCTGTACTCAGAAAGCTGGAGATCACAGTGTGGAAAAGCCCCCAGCGAACTGGCAGAAACGCTGTCCCCCATTACAGCAGCAGCAGGGGTCAGGCCATGGCAGCAAGCATCCAACCTGCCCCAAATTGGCTGCAAAATGACCAATTACCTGAGTGAAGGCTGTGGAGAAAGAACTTGGACAAATATGGCTTTTACTTAATTCAGCTAAACTGTCAAATAAACTAGTGTCACATTGACATCTCATACTTGTTACATGTTACAGTATCCCTTGTTAAGTGAAGATCTTGGCATCAAAATCCTAAACTAATAAGAAAATCAATTTTAAGGATGATCAAAATGTAGTCGATGTGAGTGAATTGCATCGGAGTAGAATCCATACAGCTATAAGGTTGGGTATTATTTCACCAACATCAAAACAATGATTGATTACACATCTTTACATGTAGGTCTTATTGAATTAATTTCCCTGCAAATGGAAAACATGCAAATTCGCCAATTAAGTCATTTGCCCATGGAGAGCCGTGCTGCTTGACGTTCAGCTGCCACTGCGCCTTTAGTCTGAAACCCCTTTTTAGATTTGTTAAGAGTTAAGTCTCCAACAAAGACAGGAAGGAGGTCAGCACTCAGCCAACACCTGAATGCGCCTCTCTTTTTTGTGCTCCCCTTGATCCCCACGGTCTGTGCCTGTCATTAGTCTTAATGATGGAAAATTGTCATGTTGATACAAGTCTTGCTCTCCCCCTCTCTTCTTTGTATAAGTAGAAGGTGGAAGCTTTATTCGTAACAAAACCGTGGACACTGCATTTGTGCCGGGGGAGAAAAAAAGGCTGTAGATGCTCTTTCCATAGCTGGGATAATTATTCCTACTGTGACCTTAATGATTCGCTCTGTTCATCCTGCATCTCATCCACGCGCCAGGCCCTCAGCGGAGCCCTGTGTCAGGGAATATGAAAAACCCATATAATGAAACCATTTTGGCTGATGGAAAAAAAGGGCTACTGAAGCTGCACTTGCTACAAAGACGGCTCAATTATATGAGTAATTGTGATAATTTCCCCTCCATTCACTGCTTTCTCTGAAAGGCAAAAAACACAGAAGCTGAAAGGGAAATTACTTGGACAATATATAATCTGTGAAATGGTCACAACAGAAAAAAAAGATGACTGTAAGAAAGTGTAGGACTATAAATAGGTATGTTAATGCAGGGCAGATAAACACACCCTCAGCAGCTCGCAGCACTACCCTGAGAGCCCATGTGAATAGAAAAGAACATGCAACAAATGACCATTGAAAAAGCATGATAAAAGTAGATATGCAGCTGCCAGAAAATTAAACCTCCTTCTCCTTCCAATTGCCAAATTTCAGCTCCTGAAAATGCACCCCCATAGTTGGCTATCATTTGTTGTTCTCTGACAGGAAAAGGATAATTACCTCTCTCAGAGGCAGAGGACTGACATGCCCTTTAGGCTTTGCCATGAATGCAGAAGCTTGATAGAAAGCTGGAGGAATAATTTTCTTCTTCGCCTTCCCTTTATGTTCAAGAGCATGTTTTGTTCAGGAGAACTTGGAGATGGCAGTATTGTTGAGTGCATTAAACCATGGGTGTTCATACTGTAAATATGACATCCCTGTGTCTATCAGCTTCTCCATTCGGGGGGAAAAACTCTGAAATGCATTAATATTTCAATTTCATCTCGACGGGAGACAGGCGAGAAAGTGAGATATGCATTACTTTTTTCTTTCACAGTGGGTATTGGATTAAACATTTCCTGTCCTTCGATGGAAAATAACCTTTCCGTCAGATAGAAGTGAGGCTGTACATTCAAGTTTGTTGAGAAAGAAAGCATTGTTTTGTAGGAAGTGTGCAAAATATACATCTGCATGAATGCAAATGAACTCATCACCACGTCTTGTAACAGCTTTACGTTCAGCACTAGATATAATAGTTAGATACATAGACTAATTGTTTTCCTCTTACATGTTCTCTCATCATGCCCACCACCTCTTCCCCCCCCCCTCAGAGAAACCTCCCACATGTACGGCCGCTGACCCCTCAGGCCCTGCAATCTGGAATAAATCTTTCCAGACAAGCCGAGCGACATTACAGCCTTGCAGCTCAAATACTTGTATCACACTCAAATGATGAGTCTCTGTCACACACCATGTCATCTGTCTCAGCCCAACCCTCCAATAACTTCCGTCCCATTGAGCAGCCTTGTGTGTTACGGAGGCCAAGACAGCCAGAGACCCCCCGGTCCTACCTGATTGTGGCTCCTGTAACACGGGGAAGCAGCTTGGGCCCAACACCAGCCTATACTCAGCATTGCTTTTGTGTAGCACACAAACACACACACACACACACACATGTACCCACAAACCCACCAATCTCAATTCACTGCACCCCACTGTGCACTTCCTGACAGCCTCCAGAAATGTTTTCAAGTTGTCAAGTCTCTACAGTAATAGTCCCGGCGCGGAGAATTCAACAAAACAATAATCACATGATCAGACATCTAGGTTATGTAAAGACTGCCAGAATAAAACTGTTTGGGTTTCTTCTTATTTTCACTTTGAAATCTGCCGTCATGTTTTTACTATTTGGTCACTTGGACACAAATTGGCTGCTTAAATTGTATTATTTGAGTTGCAGCAGCTGTTGTGATATTTGAACACACATTTATTATTACAACAGGTTTATTTAGGTGACAGTGGTAAGGGACTGTAGGAAAATGATTAGGGGGAGAGGGTAATGTGTTTTGTCTTTTTGTTATAGTCAGAGAAATGTAACTTTTTTTTAAGAAAGTAAAGAGGGTTTACACAGCTTAATATTTCATTTATTTCTCATGAATATCAGGCAACAATATCATCTGATATCACCTTTAACAACAGTGATAACAATGGCGCATTAAAAAGCTTTCAGTTGATGTAATGTTGGGATAAAGAACAACAAATGTCAAAAGCACTATAAGAACATCATTTTAAGCTTCCCTCACCCAATCATTTTTGTTGAGTTCTTTTATTTGTGAAGCATGCGTTTGTTATCATAATGCAAAAACACGGCATTAAAATAAAAAGACCTAATCTTCACATGTAAGTGGTCTATATATAGCAAGTTTTATGTTATACAAATTAAAAGGCCATCAGAGGAAAGTATTCTATTTTATATAAATTAAATGAACAACTACTATGTGATAAGAACATTTTGCAAGCTCTGGCCTGCCTTGAAAAACCTTTCCGTTAAAACTGAACAACCAACTGTAGAATGATGTTGTGCCTGGCCCCATTTCCAAAGAAATAGGAGGCAGCATTTAAACTACTACTATAACTACTAACTCAAGGTAAAGGACAATAATATGTATACATGTAGTTATAACTGCTGAAACTCTGAGAGCCAGTTAAAATAATACTGCTATTTAAAATGTTAGTTTTATAATGTTATAGTTTGCATGTTTGGGCTGGAGTCTGTACGGTCAATTACTTTGAAGGTACAATGTTCATATATGTTTTGATAGTTTGTTTATTGAAATAAAATGTTGGTCTTAGTACATTTTTTTTTAACTAGAGTACTTGCTACACTTACACAAGATGCACAAAAAGTCAAGGTAGTGTTCAATCACTGATAATGGAGATCAACGTATATTTGCTTTTATTTGATTTTGATCAGGACAATAAACCTCCAATTCAGAGAAACACTTGTTGTTCTTATTTGGCAAAAATGGACCTTGGGTTGATACAAAAAATGATCAAAGGGTCCTTCATTTTTCTTCATTACATGTTCAGTGCAAATCCTCAGCAAAAAGAAAAACAAATCCTAGAATTTACACACAGTCCCTTACCTCACAGATATCACCGACAGTGACAGCAGGAAAACTCCTGATCTTAGAAACGTGCTTCACATATATAGGCATAAATGTAGGGTGACTACTGATGCACACACACTGACCCTCAGGCTGAGGTGGTCGGATTTGGTTCTTCATCGCCAGCGGTCTGATATAAACCAGTCTGACCCGTACCTCACTGATATTACTAGCCAGGAACGGAGCGCCTCGTCTTCCAATTACACCGCTGCACCGCTGCCTGAAGCTCAGCCATCTATGGAGAGAGCCAAGACAAGGCTGTCAGAGATTTTAATAAATGTAGGGAACACTGCATGGGAAAAGTGTTGCTGTCTCAATAGAGTGACACAGACAGGCCAAGGCTGTCAATGGAGCCCCTAATGACAGAGTAAGATAATGACAGACCCCAGTTAGAATCAGCAGGAAGAGGAAGATCAATCTGCAGCCAGAGAGGGGGGGATGTGAGGAGGGGGACACAACTGTGGGCTCTTTCTTTTCTATTTTCTCACTTTTAGCTCATCTCATACATATATCTTTCTCCTGCAGCTGGCTGGCGTGGTAGCTCTGCATTAAGCGCTCAGTGGATCAATAGCCATTACTACTCCCTCACAGCCTGACACATCGCAGGGCCGCGGTGACATTTCACTCAGGGCCGCATTGATCCCCAGTGCACAATATTCCGGCCCCCAGTTAGTGGCCGAGCCTGGGGTCTGGCTGGAATTGAAAAGCGAGGGAGGGGGGTGTAAACGGCAGAGGGGTGGCTAACCAGCTGCCCGCGCTACAAGTAAACAGCACACCCCTTGACACATTCCTCGTTTTCAATCTACTGGTTTTCCTGGCAATCTGAGAGGCTGTATCAGCGGATCAAAGTTTGACCTTATGTGAATTATTTATACATGCACCAGATCAGTGTGTGTGTGTGTGTGTGTGTGTGTGTGTGTGTGTGTGTGTGTGTGTGTGTGTGTGTGTGTGTGTGTGTGTGTGTGTGTGTGTGTGTGTGTGCGTGCGCATGTGCATGAAGCAGAAATAGCCACACTGACATCCCTGTTGATAGCATCTACACCATTTTGCAGTCCAGTGGAAACTCGCAAAGGGTCTAAAATAAGCATTTGGTGTAATTAAAAAGGTGGGAGTTTCCAAGAAACCTAAAAAATAAACACGGAAAAATCGCAGACAACACAAAATTGGAGTCCATTTCTTTTTAATTGCCTCCTGAGACCTATGATGCTATCTCTGTGGTCAGTTTGACTCTGCAGAGAAAACACTGAAGCTGGTACAAAGTGTTGAATTCATTCATTTATACAGCAGCTGCAAAATGTGTTTATCATTTACCCAAATATAAATAACCGTTTTAACAACATTATGTACGGTACTTTTACAACCACACTAAAGATGTCAAGACTACCTTATCACAATAAATATTGAAAACATCATACTACTTCTGTAATGCAAACCCATGTAAACTGGCCTCTGTCAGTTATTATGTATTATTTCATGACACAGTGATGATATTTAAAATAAACCATCTACTGTATGTTTCTGGACTTATCTTGTGCACATAAGGTTGTGTGTTCACTGTGTGTGGGTTCTAGTTCAATCAGGGGAAAAGGGGATCTCCCCATAACTCCTCTGCAAGTGAACACTGCTCCTAGCTTTGATTTCTAAATTGCACTTCATAATTGTAAGAGAGGTGAATTCCCAGATAAAATGTCTACAAGAGATTAAATACCTGTCAGGTGTAGTGTGACCGCTTTGTTCGCTGTAAAGTCTGATGGAGGGACATTTCTGAAAAAGAAAAAAGTGTGGTTTTCTTTCTTTCTGAACGATATCAATCTTAATAAAAGACGATGGTTCAAACCTTGAACGCATTCAACATTGAAACTCCCACACGTGAAACTGCTGCACCTCCTAAACATAGTAAATAACAGGGATTAATGCTATAGGTGTATATTAACAACAGTTTGCACAGTCTACATGTGAAGGCATGAATGCATCAGATTACAGGTCTAATGCCATAATTGAATTCTTGCTCCGGGCAATCAATTGTTACCACCTGGCTCGATGTTTGCAACAACACACACAATCCCAACGTAAATTAATTAAACATTAAAGCCAAAAAATAAATGCACATAAGTACACCCACACACACACACACACACACACACACACACCTTAAACACCGCTGGACACTGTACGGCAGAAAAAGACCTGCAGCTGCCTCTGAATCAGACCCTCATCTTTAATTTCTCTGTGGTCGGCCCAGTCGGATACAATGCCTGTCGTCACATAGTCTGGGGTCATTATGTACTGGGAGAGGGAGAAAAAAAGAAAGTGTACATGAAGATGAGAGCAGGTCTGCAGTCACAATGCTTCCATTTAACATGGGTTAGTACAGGGGGGGGGGGGGATTGTGGGGAAGCGCCTTGCCCTCTCCAGCCTAATCGTGCGACCCAGGGCGGCCCGGCAGAGAGACATCGGAGCCCCGCAGGCTGACAGCGTACCCCCCCCCCCATCAACACTCACAAGTAAGACAAGGGTTTACTCTGGGAGACACTGGCACCAGTCCAAGTGGTCGATGGATTGTTTCCAGGGCAGATACACCTCATGTTTACATGCTGCATACAGATTGAAATGTCATCCGCCACACAGAATGAAACACACATGTTCATCTTATTTAGTAAACAGTGTTTTAAAGGTCTCCTATTATACTATAGGCATATTATAGATCTCAGATATTTAAAAAAAACATGTTTATGAAGTGTTTTGCACAGAAAATACAAAATTCTAGCCATGCCTCATCCCCCTCTATTTCAGCCTGTTAGAGAAGTGCTGATTCTGGGTACGTAGCTTTAAAAAGAACAACAACAAAAAAAGAGAGGAGAATTCAACCCAGATACTCAGCTAAACGCAGGCCGTGTTTAAATGCCATATTATGTTCCAAACCACATCAAGGATCATTTCTGAAACAATATGGGGCTGAAATGCTTTTTCTCTCACAGGTTTACCACAAGGTGAGTGCCTTTTTTATATCCTGCTTTTTTAAACATATACTCTCTCCAGTACAGCGTTAGCTCTGAGTGTTAGCGATGCTTGCTAATGTAAACACAGACCATATTACTTCCAAAACATTGTTTCTAATACATCGACCTTCTGGTGTAAAGCCAGCCAGCCCACATTTCCGTAATGTGGGCATGACTGCAGCACATCTGGATCAGCACCGTTGTTCCCCCCGTTTTTTCAAATTTGGGTAAGGAGGAAAAGAGAGAGGGTTGTATTGTGAGTCTCCTGACACACCGGGCGGGGACACATATTTATGTATAAAAGACAGCAAAAAGGGAATTTTGCATAATAGGGGACCTTTAAGGGTATAAATCTGTTCTATTCATTTTGGATTTGTCATGGCTGTTTCAATACATTTCCTGCGAGCTACATTTCAAATGTAAATCTGTAGACGACACTTGATTCCTCTCTTCTTACAGATCCACCTCTTCAGCCCTGCTCCAAAGTCACTTCTTCAACTGGTCAATTACTATGTTTTCCTCCCTCGCAGCCAAAGTCAAATAGATGGCTTTCACAGCTCCTTCTTATGACAATGTTTGTGTGAATTATTCAGCATTTGCTTTTATCGAATAACAATAACCTGAAAAACCCAAATGTAGAAATAGCAGATCACAGGGAAAACTCAAACTCGCTTTCCAGCCTCAGTGTCATTCAACTCACTGCTGGATTGTGATGGAAGCTAACAATGCTTTGATATACAGTAGTTATGAGATATTATGCATGTGTTTTATATTAAGAGCTTAAGGGTTGAGTTTCACATTGAAAGCGACAGTTGAGCTTCACCCTTTGGACGGTGAAGGCAGCACTCTGGCCTGACTCTGCTCAGAGGAAACACCTGCAGAGAGCAACACATGTGGATCTGCAAGGGAACCTCCTCTGTCTCCTCTGCACTGATGAAATATCCCTGAGTGAAGAGGCCTGTGACCTTGTTATGATCACTTGTAGCTCTGGATATTGTTTAAGCGCGCCACTGGGGAAAGCCTGGCGGAGCTACATGAAGCGGAGCGGCTCTTTTTGT